CCATGTCCGTAGCAAGAGGATCAGCAAGAAAGAGATGTGGACCAATGTATTGCTCTTCGCCGGGATGTTGCTGGAGTAACTTGGCGGTGGAGTCGCCCAATGCAAACGTAGTGCTGCGCTGCGTCGTCGGCCGCGCTGTTTCCAACAATTCTGCGAAGAAAGACTGGTGGACATCGTAATCGTACTTGCTCTGTGGGGCGTAGGCCGACACGACCGTCAAAATGCCATGTTGCATTCTGATTCGTAAAGACGCCAATCGTGGTGATACCGCCCGGAACGCTACTATAGCAGAACGGGCCCATGGAGCAGCGATGAAGCCGACCCCCGCTACAAAACGTTTTGCATCGTCAGGCTCCCCAGAAAAGCAAAACATAAACCCATCGTAATCGTAATACTCGGAACCGTGTACCTGAGTCTCCTGCATGGCCAAGACGGCGATGCGATGGGCAGCCATTGATACAGTTACTTCAGACAACTTCACATCTGAATCCCCACGGAGGCCATCGACCTTCCAAGTGCCAAACATCTGCGTGCGAAGTGGTTGTCATTCTCGTCGAGGCTGGAACCGCGTGTGCAGCCGCGTGGAAGAGTGAGACAATGAAGCTGGACAAATGGAGGAATAAATCGCAGCACAAGGAGCTGGGGAAATAGAGGATGAAGATGAATATGTACAAAAAAGATGAAGCATGCAGGTGTAGCGGCCTGGTATATTTGCCCGTGCCTGTTGTAGGAAATGAGCGCGGCTCCGTGGCTGAAGGCGCAGCGGTATCTTTGCCCGAGAGACGCCCAATACTAGGAACAGCAAGCTGAAAAAGATGTGGTCCATCGCTGCGGGCTCTCATGCCAGGCTGGACTGTACCTGACAGATGCCGCGTTTCCTAATGCCCTTTCGATTTCCCCTTCGGCTGACCCTTCATGCCGCCGAGGGACCGAGTAAGTAAAGCACTGCATTTATCTTCCGGCTCCTGGAGGCCTTCGTGTTCTTGGAGTTCCTTCCAACTGGCCCATGTGTCGGCCCGCCCCTTCTTCGCGGTATTGCCGGCCACCGTCACTGTAAGACCGGGCTCTCCGCCCACGCTGACCTCGTGCGGAGAGGAGTCCGTGATCTTGATGATGTAAGGGAGCTTGACAGTGTCCTTCAACAGGTACTTCAGTCCGAAGCAGTAACTGCGTGCCGCGCGCTCCAATGGCGGCCTGTCGGGTGACGCCCATATATTCTTACCATTATGTTGAAGACGGGTGCTCCTGATAAGTGCAACTGCTGTGTCACGATCTGTCGTATCCGAAAACTCCACGAACAGAATGTTGGTGGAGTCCCCTTTCATGTAAATGCTATGGGGTAAAGGGCCACCATGCTGCGATAGCTGATCGCGCAACCATGCGGAGGCCGTATGCGTCATAGTGAACCCATCCAGATTCCCAAAGACTGCTGTAACAGAGCGCTTGTCGTTCGGATCGTGAGGAACTCTGGGACCACCTTGGCGTCTGAGTTGCTGAACCTCGCGTTCTAAAGCTTGCAATTTCCCGAATGTGTTTGTGCCAGTGCTCGCTTCCGACCCTGTCCTTGCAGATGGTCCTGGAGTAGGCGCTCGCGAAACATCCCGCGACTCCAAGATCTCCAGACGCGTCGTGATGTCGTCGATGGCGCTGGAAATGGGAGCAACTTTAGCATCAAGATCTGCACGCGAGACTCCATGCGTTTTGATCGCGTTTATGTCCTGGCGTATGGGGTCAAGCTGTTCCTTGAGGATCTCTCTGGAAGCGCTCATCGACACAGACTCTCCCATGATCTTCTTGTCGTCGCTGCTGCTGCCACCGGCAGCGGCCAGTTGAGCTTGGAACCGTTGCTGACGTGCAAGAGTGCTCTCGGCGTCGTCGAACCAGTCCATTTCCTGCAGCGGGCTGTGGATGCGGTGCTGCTTGAGCAACTGCTGGACAGGTGTTCCTGGCGCACAAGAGTTGACACCGGCCCCCAAAGAAGACATCGATGCAATGTCGAGCTGTATGGGATGACGTCGGAGAGAAAAAAAGAGCAAGAGCAAATGGTAAGTACAGTGAGCAGGTGTGGCCCCGCCTTGAGCAGGTGTGGCCCCGCCTTGAGCAGGGTGCTCTTGAGCTTTTGAACAATGACGAGGCCACCAAGAGGCCTCCCAAAAGAGCCCCCATAGGCAACAGGCTCCCACACGGGCCACGACGCTGTCAAGACTCCCCTAGCGGCCACCAAGAAGCCTCCCGAGAAAGCCCCCATAAGCGAGAAAACATTATGTCCTATGCGTTTTTCAACAAATTCAGCTCAAGAGGGTTTCAGGAGGAGCCCGAAAACGCTCCAGGAGGAGCCCACACGGGTCCAAGATAGCTCCAAGATTTTTGAACGAATTCAGCCCAAGAAGGTTTCAGGAGGAGCCCGAAAACGCTCGAGGGGGAGCCCAAATGGGTCAAGGATAGCTCCAAGATTTACCAACGAATTCACCCCAAGAGGGTTGAGGAGGAGCCCGAAAACGCTCCAGGAGGAGCCCACATGGGTCCAAGATAGCTCCACGATTTTTCAACGAATTCAGCCCAAGAGGGTTTCAGGAGGAGCCCGAAAACGCTCCTGGAGGAGCCCACATTGGTCCAAGAGAGCTCCAACACTGATGGTTCCCCCCTGCGTAATCACCCAAAGCCAGCCATCCATAAACAAAAAAACGACCCAGCAGCACCCCATTGACAACGATCACACGGGCACTCGACAGCCGTGCACCAATACGGGCCCGCGGAATGAGCGAAGCGATTAAATAAGTGTTGGACAATGCTGTATCGGAGGGGCACATGTATGGCATGGAACTAACCTGGGATGGAACATTACAGCTGTAAATTCGTTGCCAGAGCGCGCTAAAACAACCGAGTGGGGAACCCATAACAAGCGCAAGAGAAGCTATCTACTTGGACGGGCTCTTGTCTTGCGACGGCCGGGCGAACCACGAGCTTTTTCGACGGATAGGTGAAGACATGAATATGTTCAAGCAGCTTCATAAACTATGGTCTCACTCGTCGATTGGGAAGCACCGACAATTACACATATACTGGAGCTCCGTGATAAGCATATTTCTACATGATCTCGCCTCCGTGTGGCTGTTGAAGGCAGAAAGGGATATGCTAGATGCGTTTCATTGCAAATGTTTGCGCAACATCTTAGGTACTCGGCCTTCACAACTTGCATCGAGAATATCTAATCCGGATGCCCTGGCAAGGGCAGAGCCCGTACCTCTGTCACAAATGTTGTGCCAGAAGTAGATCATTATGTATAGAAGTACTTGGAATCAGCCAGCCGACTCTTTGACAAAGCGTCTCGTGTGCAGCTCGGGTGGCACCCGCAAAACTTGGGCACGCCACCGTGGCAGAGGGCGCCCGCGACAACAGTGGGCGAAATCAGCGTTTGCAGCGGAACATATGGATGCATCATTTCTTCTGTCCTCTGCCTTCCCTCCCTCTCTTCCTTCTGTGCTGCAGCTCACTGTTTAAGCCACACAGGTTGCACCCAGTAGATTTCACCACATAGCTTGCACCCTATAGCGTGCGCAACTTATCTTGCATCACATGGGTTGCACCACATAGCTTGAGCCACATAGCTTGAACCACATGGATTGCACTTCCGAGCTTGCACAACATAGCTTGCGCCACGTCGATTGCCCTACATAGCTGACACCACGTATATGGTACCACATAGCTGGCACCACAGTGTGTGCACCACACGGCGTGAACCACACAGCTTACACCGCAGAGCTTGCACCATGACCATGTAGATTGATCTACATGCTCACACCACCTAGGTTGCATCACATAGCTTGCACCACATGGCTTGCACATCATAACGCGCACCACGTGTATTGCCCCGCATAGCGTGAACCACATAGCTCTTACCACATACCTTGCGCCACTCAGTTTGCATCACGTAGACTGCATCGCGTAGCTGAGTCAACATAGCGTGCACTGCACAGCTGAAGCATCCAATATGAGACAACTTACTGCTTGGCATCTACGCTTTCGAAGATGCTTCGCACAGGGCGCTCTCGTCCAGTTTCGGGGCCCAGCACCATCACACATCGATGCAGCTCGAAACATGCAGCAGAAAGATGGGGTCCAGAGCTACGGTCACGATAATGCGAACGATACGAAGAAGACTAGCAATACTAACATTAATAATTGAATAGTGGCAGCAACAGTATTTGAAAACGACGGCGACGAGGATGATGATGCTGGTGATGATGGTGGCGATGGTGATGATGATACTTACTTGTTACTTTAAGCGCGGTGCTGCCCATTTGAGCACGCGCATTACAGAACCATAGCACAATTAACACGACTAATGCCACCAACCATAATACTACTAGTATCATCATTAGTATTAGTAGTCGTATTAATTAGGGTAGCACTGACATATTACGAGTCAAATTGCTACTGATAGTACTACGACTGATACGACTGGTAATAACAGTAACAGTAATAGCACCAATGGAGACACTACTATTTGTAATAGAAATGGTAAGCCATAAAGTCACTAATACTAATATGAATAATACTGATGCTAATGACACTAATCGTAACATGAATGTGAACACACATAACAATGATAGTCATACTAGTAACACGAATATGAATGACACTGCGAATAATGAGGATAGTGATGATAATGGTAATGATGATGATGTTGACGATGCTGATGATGTTGCTGCTGCTGCTGCTACTGATGATGGTGATGGTGATGGTGATGGTGATGGTGATGGTGATGATGATGATGATGATGATGATGATGATGATGATGATGATGATGATGATGATGATGTGGAGGAGGAGGAATATGGGGAGAGGAGGAGGTGGTGAGGGCAGGGGGGCGAGGGAAGGCAGAGGAGAACGGAGGGAAAGGGAAGAGAGCAGGGAAAATGGAGGACGAGGAGGGAAAGAGAGAGAGAGAGAGATGGAAGAGGACGAGGAGAACGAGAAAGGGGGAGGCCGTCTCGGACCGTCTCGAGGCCGCCCGCGATCTGCATCTGTTATCCGAAGCTCTCCCCGCCGCGCCGCTCCTTCTGTGGGCCCCCTGTGCACGAAGTCCTGTTTGAAGAACAACAGCGCAAACATAAACCTTCGGAAGTCCATGCGGATTTCGTGGGTCGCGCGCCAGGGGCGGCGCTGGAGGCGCCGCCAGGAGGGGGGGTCCAGCGCCGATCCGAGAGACACGCGCGGACCTTCGACAATTCCTGTCGGTACATCGTTCCTTCTCCCCCGGCCTGTGCAGCGGCCAATCGTCCCGCTGGCAGTGCCCGCAGCAGTACCAGGCCCGCCGGCACCGCGCGCACCGCAGCGGCGCCGCCGCGGCGGAGCAGCGGGCGCAGGGGCCGCCGCCCGACCAGCGGCTGGCGGCGGCCGAGGCGCCGCTCAGGGGCAGTGGGCGCCACCCCTCCGGGGGCCCAAACCACGTGCCCCACGCCGCCTCGTAGGGCGCCAGCGGCGGGCCCCTGCGGGGCGGCGGCGTGCACACCGCGAGCAGCTCCACGTCGAAGACCGCGTCACCGGCCAGCGGTCCGCCGCCTGCACCCGCGCCCGCACCGCGCACGGCCACGAGGGCACGCTCGTGGACCGCCATGCCGCGCAGCACCGCCTCCAGCGGGCCCAGCGCCCTGTCCGCGCCCACGAAGAAGGCATGCGGGCCCCCGCCGCCGCGCCTCGTGCTCCGCTCGAGCTCGGCGCCGCCGCCGCGGTACACCTCGAGGTGGCAGACGGCGTTGAAGCGGGGCGGCCGCCCTGGCTCGGGCGCCGGGCCCGGCCTGCCCTCCGCGAGCACCTGCTTTATGGCGGCGCCGCCCTCCTTGCGCTGCAGCCGCTCGACGAGCGCGGCCGCGGCGTGGCGCGACGCGCCCCAGGGAGCCTCGCCGCCAGCGGCCCGCTGCGGCCCCAGCGGCACCACGACGGACAAGCACGGCCGCAGGCAGCGGGTCGACAGCCACCAGCCGCCCGGCACCAGCAGCGCCTCGCCCCCGCGCACCACCACCGAGCGCACCTCCGCGGCCGGATCCGCCCACGGGTCGTAGGCGCTGTGCCCCGCTGCGCGCGTCCCCGCGGCCTCGCCCGCCTGCTCGGAGCAGGGCGAGCTAAGACGACGGCAGCTCCAAACGCGCCAAGTTTCCGAACGGCGACCAGCCGTGGCGACGAGGGGACTCCACGAGCCCCGATATCCGACGCTGCGAGGAATCGCGACTGGAGCCCTAGACCCCATCTCTTTCTGCTGCACTTTCGAACGCAGAGGCGGCCGCTATGACAAACAAATGCAGCGCCCAGGTCTCAGGTAGAGGCCTCCTAGATGGGGTCGGAGTAGATGGGGTCGGAGGATCTCGCCGCATCGCCGATACATCGACGATGTATCGGCGATGCATCGGCGATGCATCGGCGATGTGCCGGCGATGCATCGACGACGTCAGCGATGCATCGGCGACGTCGGCGCGGGGAAACACGGGCTCCACATCGAGCCGCATCGCCGATGCATCGGCGATGCGGCGTGATCCTTCGACCCCATCTACTCCGACCCCATCTAGGAGGCCTAGATCAGGGCAGGCCAACTGCCGCTGCCTTATAGCTCGCCCTCCTCGGGCCTGCGCGGCCGCCGCAGGGCAGCCCGGCTCCAGGAGCACCGCCTGCAGCGCGCCGTCCAGCAGCCACAGCGCCACGTCGGCGCCGGGGCGGTGCGTGCGCGCGGCCGCGCCGGGCGGGGCCACCTCTGACTACCTACCAGACCACCCCAACCCAACCCGAAGACCCGAATTTGACCCGAATTTCGGGTTGGGGGGGGTACGGATACCATGTGTTTTTTCAACGTTCCCCGACCCCCCCCACTGGAAATCGAGGATAAATTTGGGCCTTCGGGTTGGGTTGGGGTGGTTTGGTGGGTGGTGAACCTCCACGCGGGCCTCCCGCAGAAGCTCCGCGGGCGGGCGGAGCTGCGCTGGCCACCGCAGCGGCGGCGTTGCCGCCGGGGCGCCGGCGGCCTCGCGCCACGGCCTCCAGGCTGTGCGCCAGAGGCGGGAGCCGTCCATCTCCTGGCTATGCACCTGCAGCGTGCCTGGCCAGGCCCATCCTGGGGGCCCACGATCGGTGTGCATGCCTTCCTGCCCGAGGCAGGGGGCGCGTACACCGATTCTGGGCTCAGGATGTGAGCCTGGCCAGGATCGGGCCAGGTGTATAGTTGGAGTCCTCCTGTCTCCCGAAGCAAGGCATGCCGCGACGGGGGGTAGCCAGCAGCATAGTCGACCATCTCCCAGAGCCGCGCTCGCGACGAGAAGCTCAGTGGGCGGCCGTCCGGCGGGGCGTCGTCGGCGAAGACAGGCGCGCGGTCCGCGATGTCCACCGTGACTTCTGCGCAGCAGGCGCCAGGCAGCGCAGTGAGGGTCCACGGCGCTGGAGGCGGCGAGGAAAGGACCGCGGGCGCACTCCAATTGCCCGGATCTGTCGCACTCACCCGCGCTACTGGCCTCTCGTTCCGCCAGGCTCGCCGGGCCTCGCAGGGCCATCCGAAGGGGTTCCCAGCAGCATGCTCGGCAGCCCTCAGCTTATCGAAGCAAACCCTCCACCGAGCTTTGTCGCCGACGCCGCACGATGCCTTGGGGGAGCTCTGGACGTGCAGGCCGCGGATGGCACCGACCTCCACAAGGAAGCTGCAGCAGCGCATCTTGTCCTTCATCCCTGCTGCGTGGAAGGCAAACTGCGCGAACCGCGGATTGTTGGTCTGAAACCCACCGGTGTCGACAACACAGATGTGGTCGGTCTCCTTCCTCCGGGGCCCTCCAGCCCAACTGAACCAAGGCAGGGAGGGGGGCGGGTTGCCAGTCTTCTGCCCGCCGATGATAGAAAAGGGAAAACGGCATGTAACGTATACTTTCGGAGCTCCGCGCGGATTTATCGGATCGGTGCCAGACCCCCCGCCCTGGCGCGCGGAGCGCACCAAGGGCGGCGCCAACGTCGATCCCAGAAATCCGCCCGGGGCACCGAGGTATTATGCAGATGCCGGTTTTCTTCTTCGAGATGACGTCCGGGCTCAGCTCCCCCCAAGAGCTGAGGCAGCTCATGAGGCCGCTCTGGTCCCAGAACTCGCCGAGGTGGAAGGCCTGGTCGCCCTCGCACCACACCCTGCCCCACAGCCCGCGTGCCCAGGCGGAGCCCGCGCGGCAGAGGAGCAGGCCCGTGTTGAGCCAGTCGAGGTCCGCCATGTCCTCGCCCACCACGAGGTCCTGTCTGGCCCCTAAGATCCCAGGCGTTGTTATCCTTTCTCGAAAAGCGTTGTCCGTTCACAAAATTCACTTACACTCACATTCACAATTCCGTCCCCTTTTCCCTACCCTCTGATACCACTGCGCGCCATGTCGGCGCCGATGGCGGAATCGCCGCGGAATCTTGAGCAGGAATTAGAGGCCATGATGTCTCCCACACCACCTCCGAAGACTGGGAATGCCCGCATGGCTGGCACTCCTATCGGAAGTCTCGTGAAGGACCCATGGGGACAGATGAGGGAGGACAAGACAGCTCGGGTTGGACATGGTCCTCATTGTCAATGGCACAGATCTGTTCCAATGTAGTTTGCTATGCATGATGTAATGATTGCTAGCGTGTGCATGTGTGTGTGTGTGTGCTGCTTGCTGTGCTGCGCATGCTGTGCGTAGGTGTGTGCGCGCCCGCTGCCTGTTTTGACTCAAACTGTTTCGTAGGGGCCCCTGAGCTGATTCGAGTTACGAGTGGATCTTATCGATCACAATCGATCCTTTTTCATTTTCTGTTCGGAACTTTGTGTGTCCGAGCTGGTTTCGTTTGTGTGCTACCGACATCGGTAGCGGAGCCAACGGCTCCAGGTCCACGGCCCGACCGATAAGTCCGCTCGTGATTCTCCTCCATCAGAGTTGAGAGATGCGGCCCAATGGTCCACCAGGACCAGGGCGCGGACGAGGTGAAGGTCGTGGAGGCCGCGGCGAAGGTGTTGGCCGCGGCACAGAGGAACGTCGTGCCGAAGAGGGAGAAGAGCAGCGGATTCCAGACGACGATGACAGCGAGCTGCACGACGAGATCGACTACCACAGATGGATGCAGGTCTTGCCAAGTGCTGCCCGGACGCGACGGACCTCAGACACGACACGTATAGGAACTTCAGAAGGAGAGCGACGGTGTTCCAGAGGTTATGCGCACGCAGAGGCGCGTCGGTGATCAGCGAGGGCGCCTACCTATTGCTGCAGAGTTTGACAGGAGATGCGTGGGACGCCTGCGATGAGATCAGTTTCGAGAGAATGGACACCGCCGAGGCTTTCGAAGAGATATTCGACAAGCTGGATGTGTTGTACAGGTACACGCAAGAAGTCGAGCTGCCAGGGAGATGCGACGGGTTTTTCAGAGAGTTCTCGAGACAGCCAAAGGAGACGCTCAATGCATACGTGCTCAGGCACGGCAAGGAGTTGACGAAGTTACGCGAAGCTGGGCTCGAGCTACCGGACCTACTGGCAGGATGGCATATGATGACGAGAGCTGCGATTCCACAGTGGCAAATACCAAATCTCAAGGCGCTGTGCAACAACCGGCTGACGGTGCAGGTGGTGACGGAGAGTTTGAAGACGATGTTCGGAGGCGACAGCGTGGCGCACAAGAAGGACCTCGATCGAGCGAGGAGCCTGTACCACGGACGATCGAGTCGAGAAGAAGGATACTGGATGGAGGACTACTAAGAAGAAGGTGATGAAGCCTACTACGAAGACGAATCTGATCCGCATGAGGATTATCAAGAAGAAGAAGAGTGGTATGAGGAAGACGACGATGTGCCGGAGCAGCTGGAGAATGCCTACGAAGTTGCCGAGGATGCCTACGCGGCGTACGCGGAGGCAAGAGCAAAGATGAACGAGCTGGCGAAGTCTCGAGGGTTCTACCCCGCGGTGGCGCTGATCGACGAGAGGCGCGGTGGAGGTCTGCCACCGCCGCGCGCGGGCAACGCCAGGCCGCCAAAAGGAAGAGGAAGAAGCAACGGCGGCAAAACTAAGGATCACAAAGGGAAGCAAAAAGGACGATACGGAGGACGAGCACCATTTGGTAGTGGCAAAGGCAGCAGGCACTTCGACGGCAGCCCGAAGACGACGCAAACAGGAGCTACTTAACAGCATGGTCCGAGGTTCAAGCGGCGTCGAGACGGAGCACCAGCTAAACACGATGGAGACGCGAAGATGCTGTGCGAGGTCAGATTGGACGAAACGACGACGGAGATCACCAACAGCATGGAGACGGCGCACGATCAGTTACTCGAGGAAGTGAACCTGGCTACGGGAAAAGGAGTTGGCGACAGTGGAGCTACAAAACCGGTCATGGGACTCGGCGAGTGGCCGAAGTGGCGAAAAAAACTGACGGACATGGGTTTGTCCAGGCAGATCCAGACGGAGAGGTGTCAGAAAACATTCAGGTTTGGCAACGACGCGACAGCTACGGCGAAGCAGATGGTCACGCTCCCGGTCTGGATTCGCAATGTGAAGAGAGAGATCACGGTATTTCTGGTACCAGGCAAGGTTCCGCTGCTCGTGGCGAGGCCGTGTCTCGAGGAATGGGGCATCGTGGTGGACTACCAGAACAAGAAGGCGATGTACCTGGACGAGGATCCGCAGACCTGGAACGATATCGAGACAAATGGAAAAAGGCCACATGATCATAGACCTCCTGAGGTTTCTTGATGACGCGCTGGAGGTGAAAGAGGAGTCCAGCACGACCGACGCCGACACGGACGGATACCACGAGGTAAAGAGCGACAACGAAGTGGAGTACTACGTGACCAGCACGCACGGAGAGGAGAAAGAGAACGCGGAGACGACCGACTTTGACGCCGAACAGCCGAAGAATTGGTTTGCGAAGGCGAACCGAACGCTCGACGAGAAGCCGAAGGTGAAGCGCAAGTTCTGGGAGATCTTTTGTCAACGAAGGCAGGATTTCGCAATATGTCGAGCAGCATGGCGACTTCAAAGCAGACAAGCTCACCCTGGACACTGGTTGGGATTTTACGAAGAAGTCACACAAAGATGCGTTTTTCGAGAAGTTACGGCGTGAGAGACCAGAAGAAGTGTGGATTTCACCGCCATGTACGCTGTGGTCGATGATCAACACGCTGAACGACGCAAGCAAAGATGACAGGTACCGACAACAGCGACGACGTGAGCGTGAAAAGCAGCAGAAGGATTTCCTGAAGTTCAGCCGAGACATCTACGACGAAGAGTTGAGGAACGAGCGGGATGCGCATTTGGAGCATCCAAGGTATGCCACGTCGTGGAAGGAAGATGTCTGGCAGAATCTGGTCGGCTACGACAAGTTCGTGGACCAGTGCGCGTACGGGCTGAAGGCATTGGACCGTGACGGGCACAAGCTAGGACCGATTAAGAAGCCTACGAATGTGAGGACGACCAAATACAATATGCATGAGAGACTTTGGAGGCGCTGCAGCTGCAAGGAGAAACGCGTTATGTTGGAAGGAGCGCACAACATGCGCGGTGTGGAGAACTATCCGAGGGGCATGGCGCTTCAGGCCGCTATTTGCATCGTGGACGACCCTCAGAGCGAGTCGAGCTACGCGGTGGAAGAGATGACGCAGGATGAGTTCGACAAGATCGAGTACAAAGAGGTGTGGAAGACGCTACTTGAGAAGTTCACGATCGACGAAGTAAAATGGGCGAAAAGTGCATGTGCAGATGGGTCACCCATCTAGCGAGGCGCTGGCGGCGGCGCTCAAGGAGATGAACGCAGACGATCGCTTGGTGAGCTGTGCGCGGATTTACATATGCGAGGTTTGTTTGAAGGGGCAGAGGCCGAAACCCGTGAGGATCGCGAGGGTTCCGAAAGATCGAGGGTTCAATGACACGATCGACATCGACACCTTCCACGTGAAGTGGAATGACAAGCACAAGTTGATGTTCACAATCATGGATGAGAGCTCGAAGTGTGAGGTCGACGCGGTCGTGAAAGACGAGAAGGCGAAGACGGAGATCAAGGCGATCGAGAGGAACTGGATCAACTGGGCAGGCGTGCCGGCAAGGATCAGGGCCGATCAAGAGTAGAGCGCATGTGAGTGAAGAATTTTCGGAGTGGTGCGATGCGAGGCGGATCAAGTTGCAGTTGATACCGAGGGGCGCACACCACAGGCTTGGGATTCTTGAGAGGAGCCACCAAGTTCGACGAGAGCAGATTGCGAAGTACCACGAAGATCGACCAGACGACAGCCTGAAGGTGACAGTTCGCGTGACATGCGACATGAGGAACAGGTTATGCAACGTTAGAGGATTTACGCCAGCGCAGCGTGCGCTCGGCCGTCAACCGAGAGACCTGGGCAACGTTGCGGACGAGCCGACGACAATGGGCGATCTCGGCAACCATGATGAAGAGTTCTGCCAGAACATCGCGCGGAGGCGAGATGCAGCCAAGGCGTATTTTGCAGCAAGCATGTCAAGTGCTGTGCGAGAGGCTCTCGCGGCTCTCAACCGACCGCTGGCCGAGAGTTTCAGATCGGCGAGTATGTGTATTTCTGGAAGCGAGATAAGGGCGAGAGCGACTTGATCAAGAGCTATGGAAGGGGCCTGCGGTGGTCACGCAGGTCGAGTACACGGAAGATCCCGACAAGTTGAGGCAATCGGTGGTCTGGTGCGTGCACAATAACACGCTGCTCGGGACGACGCGTGAGTAACTGAGGCCAGAGCTACCAGAGGAGCGACGGCAAAGAGAAGAACAAGACGAAGACTTCGGTCTACCTCTGTCGACGGCGGAGAGGCTGCTCAAGAAGCTGAAGGATACGACAAGGTCCATCAAGTACAAGGATTGCGTTGGAGAGGCGCCTGGCGACTCAGGCGACTACGTTGACGATGGGCGACCTGAAGGCATGGACGTCGACGCCGAGGGCGTGGACACAGACGGACAAGTTGCAGGACCAGGAGATGAGCAGGCACGACCCAACGAGGATCAGCGGAGAGGCGACGAGGCCGAGCCACTCGCGCAGGCGCCGTCAGAGGCGCAGCCGCAAGATGCGGTAGGCGAGTCTCGACCGGATGCTGCTGCACAGGCGAACGAAGGTGAGCGCGAACCAGATCCCGAGGCCACGAGCCGAGAAGCAGCAGAAGACGCTGAGCCAGAAGCCAAGGTGGAAAAGCAGAAAGCAGATGACAGAGACGAACTACTGGATAGTATCAACGCGGCAAGGCGGCTGGGCGGGCTCCGACCACTGACGAAGAGGCCGAAGATCACCCCGAGGGAGACGCAGCCTAAGACGGATATTGAAAACGATATACCCGAGTTGTTATTACTACTGTACGAAGATGAAGAAACGGTTTACTTAACGAATGCGGCGAAGCGTGACGCGGTCGTGGAGGCCAGGCTCGCGATGGACGAGAGGAACCAGTTCGATGAGGCCAAGACCAAGGCGCTGATGCCCTGGATCGAGAACCAGGCGTGGCAGGCGGTCAACGAGTCCACGGCGGACGCCGATGAAATATGCCCCATGCGTTTCCTGCTGAAGCGGAAGATGAAAGACGGAGTTCGAGAGGCCAACGCCAGAATTATTCTACAAGGATTTCATTTGGAAGAGGTCACGAGCACGAATGCGGAGAAGGCCAATCCGACGCTGACGAGGCTTGCGAGGTATATCATCCTACTCGTCCTGTGCCAGTCGTGGAAGATGATCGCGGCAGACGTGAAGAGCGCGTTCCTGCAGGCGAAGGACATTCGTGAACAAGGGGTGCGAGTATTCAGCAGACCGACGAAGGACATCCGAAGAAGGCTGGCCAAGCTGATGAACCTGAAGGACGACGAGATTCTGCAGATGCTGAAGCCCGCTTTCGGAGATGTTCGGGCGCCACGGCAATGGAATCAAACGATCACCGAGGCCATGATCGACATTGGGTTTCTCCAGCGCCAGCTGGATCGATGCTGTTTTCTGTCGTACCGTGTGGCGACGAAGGCGACGACCTGTTCCTGGTATGGAGGGCGGATGACGGCCAGAACTACGTCCTGGACGGGGTTCTGGGATTGCACGCGGACGACTTCATCGGCGGCGGCGAGAACCTCGAGTGCGAGGCGGACCTGACCGACAAGCAAGCCTACGAGGGCAAGTTCCTGGATCGAGTTCAGAATCTCAGCAGGAGGTTCAAGTCTGGAAAATGAGAGTTTCATAGTGGTACTGTTTTCTGTGGTATGGAGACTACTCAGGCGCAGTCTAGGAACGAGATCGAGGTCAAGGCCGAGGCGTACATCCTCAAGGTCAAGCCGATAAGCGTCGAGAAGGTTCGCCGACAGCACCCAGACGATGTGTGTACACCAACGGAGATCAGTCAGCTGCGAGGACTGAATGGAGCTATGCAGTGGCCGGCATCTCAGTGCATGGTGCAGGCGGCTGCGACGGTTTCGTTTGCCCAAGGCGACGTGAGCAAGGCTACAGTGGGGGGTTTGCTGGAAGCCAACAAGTCACTGCGATTCCTGAAGACGAGCGGAGACGTGGGCATTCGTATCCGATATGTATCCAAGTGGGAGATGCTACGTCTGGGAGTATGCTGGGACGCTTCGTGGGCAACGAGGCCGAATGGTGAATCACAAGGAGGATATATCATATTTGCTATTGAGGACGAGAGGATCGACGACGGACAGCCGACGTTTATGGTTATTCTGAACTGGGCGAGCAAGAAGTTGGCGCATCTGCAGGAGTTCCCTGGCAGGAGAAGCTCAGGTGGCGGCCAGCGCTGTGGACGCTCTACCTTCGCTGGCAGCGAAGACGATGTTGACCACTATGCTCTACCCCGACCAGCAGCTGACGGGCAAGGACATGCTACAGGTGCCGGGGCGGAATCCGTGCATCGCGGACTGCAAGGCGCTCTACGATGCGACGAATTCTCAAGCACCAGCCGGTGGCTTGACGGAGCGCAGGACGGGCATCGAGATCGTGCAGGTAAACGAGAAGATGAGGGAGTTCGGTGGCGTGTGGAGGTGGACGAACACGTTTCAGCAGATGGCGGACGGTTTGGCGAAGTTGCAGGTGCGACAGCAATTTGTGGAGAAGCTGCGAAGGATGACACACGCACTGAAGTACGACGCCACGTTCACAGGAGATAAGAAGGTCACTCAGAAGGAGCGCGAGAAGAATGAGCAGGAGTTGAACGATGCAGCAGCCGATTTTGACGAAGCGAATGCTGTTGAGCAGTCGCAAGATGGAGAAGAAGAGCGCGAGACGGTTCGAGCTACCAGTGCAGGAACACGCACGGCGCAGAGGCTTGCGATCTTGGTGGCATCAGCGACGACGACCAAGACAAAGGCGGAGGAGACGTGTCCAAGTGTGGACATCGATGAGACGCAGTGGATCTACGTGACGGTGTTTACGATGTTGTTATTGGTTATGGTGTTACGATGCGGTTGTTGTTTGTGTACGACGTGTTATTGCAAAAGGGCAAACGAAAAGAATGACGAGATGAAAGCAAGCCTGATTGAGAGGCCCGATGACAAGAAGGACGGTGATGATGGAGAGTTGCAGATCAAGCTGTGCAACCAAGAGAAGGAGATCGAGAAGCTGAGGATGACGATTTTCGAGCATGAGGCAAGGGCGAAGAAAGCGCGCGAGTTGCAACAGGAGTTGGAGTCGTTGTTTACGGATTCCGAGCAACGTGGCAGGAGTTTGCAAGAATATGATAAAAACAAGTCATGGACATCGACAAGAAATTACGCGAGAGAAACGACGAGCTCGGGAGAAACGACGAGCTCGGGATCCTCTATAGAAGGTTGACGACGTTGAACATTAGTAACCACAAGTTGGACATGCAGTTGAACAATGCGAAGAACGAGATACGACAGTTGCAGCAACATGCTCGAGACGTTCCAGAACCAACGAGGATGATATCTGCGAGTACACAGTCGCAGTGTACGTATCGAAGGGACCTGGCCACGCCGAGATTCCAAGAGTTACGTTCGATTCACGAGCAGGTTGTGACGACCACGGACGTGTTCATGGTCATGGGATCATCGAGCTCGTCGAAGACGTGAAGGGCGTGGTGGAGGTCATCATAAGTGGGAGCTACGATGTGCGAGGAGACCAGGGCACATTTCTCAACTCTGAGTTGAAACGGTGCAGGTTTTTTTGGTTGATTCAGGTATGGCAGCGCGTGTATATGTTTTAGATGATTCGGGGCTTAAAAGCCTCTTTTCTTTCTCCTGTGTCAATGGCACAGATTTGTTCCAATGTAGTTTGCTATGCATGATGTAATGATTGCTAGCGTGTGCATGTGTGTGTGCTGCTTGCTGTGCTGCGCATGCTGTGCGTAGGTGTGTGCGCGCCCGCTGCCTGTTTTGACTCAAACTGTTTCGCAGGGGCCCCTGAGCTGATTCGAGTTACGAGTGGATCTTATCGATCATAGTCAATCCTATTTCATATTCTGTTCGGAACTTTGTGTGTCCGAGCTTCGGTGGTTTCGTTTGTGTGCTACCGACGCTCATTCCACCCTTGCTCCTCTTCTTGGCGATGAACGCCCAGGACACCGCGAGCAGCAGGAGGGCTACGTCCCGATGCCCGAGGACGATTCCGAAGACGAGCTGATCGAGACGCCGGCCCGCAAGCCGAATCTCGACCAGCAGAACGACGTGACCATGGCTGGCATCGCTGGCCTCCTGCAGGAGCAGCTGTCCCCTGTGACGTCAGTGGTCAAGAGCCTGCGCGCAGAACTCGGCAAGCTCGAAGCCAAGGTCACGAGCATCGGAGAGACGCTGGCTGGCCGCTTAGACCACGTTGAGACTGCCATTCTCGATATCGAAGCGCGGGTGGAGAAGCTGGAGAACGTGCACGAGCTGCTGAAGGATAAGCCGACCTACGCCCCCCAGGAGCTTGACACCAAGATCAAGGACTACATCAGGGAGGCCATGACGCAGGAGAGCACGCAGTAGACTCCAGTCTGCACACAATCCGCGGGCGATCCGAGCGCAGAGAAGCGCTCAGTGACCATGGTATTCGGCAACATCGCTGGCCTCCACACCCTCTCGAAGGCCGAGGAGTGGTTGCAGGAAAAGCTGACGTTCTTGAAGGCCCCCATCCCGACCAAGACCTACACGAAAAGGAATTTCGTTGGAGTGCTATTCGCGGAGTTCCGGAACTCTGTGGAGAGGAGCGCCGCCGTGGACGTCTTGAGGAGGACGGGATTGCAATCGGGTGGGAAAAACGTGTGGGCCAACCAACACCGACCTACCACCGAGAGGGCGGCAAGGAACTTCTGGTTTGGATTAAAACACATATTCAAAAAGGCATGGAACATTCCCTTCACAGTGTCCGTCAACGATTCTGCTCCTTACACGGTGACAGTGGGCGGCGAGCTCGCACTGACTACACATGTGTTCCCTGATCGTGTGACCCACCAGTGGCACGGGGAGTGGGCTAGGTGGGAGGAGCTTCACAAAAGCCCCGAGGTCGTGGATCTCCTGGACAGGTCGAATCAGTTGGTTGCAAAGGCAGCGGCCGGCATGAAGGGATCGAAGGGCGGCGTCAAGGGCTTGTCAAATGGGGCCACAGGGCGCCATCCAGAATAGGAAATACCAGACACAATTGTTTCATCCGCAGTCGGCCATACTGCTCCAATATATCGATTAAGAATTCATGAGTACATTCAAGGCGCGACCAGAGCACGGCAAGGCAATGCCAGCACTGGACGAGGAGGGGCTGACTTCCGAGGAGGGCGCTTGCAACCCTGTGCAATGGATATCGTTATCGGTTCGTGGAACGTCGAGGGCATGACGGAGGCGAAGGAGGAGGAACTGCAGGTCTACATGGAGAAGCTGGGCATCGACGTGCTCGCCATCCAAGAGACTCAGAAGCACGAGTCCGTTTACTATACGACCGAACGTGGGTTTTTGGTCGTTCTATCTGGAAGCCCTGGCTCCGATGAGACTGCTGGAGTTGGTTTTCTCGTATCGCCGCGGGCTCGCAGGAGCATCATTGGATTCAGGATGATGGGCGAGAGGATTTCGTATCTGAAGCTTCGTGCTCGGGGCGGGAAGGTGCCGATCTTCAGCACATACGCCCCTCATAATGGGAAGGTGGGCGATGATAGGCAAGGCTTTTACAATCAGCTGGGCAGTATTATCGCAAGCGCAATGGTACCGCAAGCGCAAACGCGGACGCCCGAAGCTACAGTGGGCGGCGTGTGTTTTCCCGTACGCTTTCTGATCACGCCTGCAATCTTCGCATGTAGAATTCGAAGAGTCATGAACTGCCGCTGCGCCGTTTGGGCGCCTGGCTTCTTGCTTGCTTGCTTGGGCAGTATTATTGCTAGCACGTCCAGACGTGGGCATGCCTTGGTGTCGGGAGGCTTTAACGCTGGGCTGCACGGGCGATGCGGGGGAGAGGGGTCGACTCTGGGAGGCCACGTCGTCGGAGACCCGCAGGCTCGGCACAGCCCTCCGTCGACCCGAAGTCTGCTCATGGAGTTATGCGAGAGTGAAGGGGAACTGGAACACACAAATAGATACACACAAATAAAAATATCCCCCATATCTTCCCATATTTTCTGGGTTTTTGTCTTCCCCACCACTTCCCATATTTTTGCATATTTTCCTGGGAGTCGACGATTAATTGTGTCTGTGTGTTTCTTTCCCTCCTGAGAGAGAGAGGGGCTGGCTGTCGCCAACACGTTCTTCGACCATTCCGCGGATAACCAAATCGCGTGCTACAATGTGGGATCCCATCCAGGAGATCCGGCGGTGCCGCAACATTTCGGTCAAATCGATTTTCTTTTGTGCGACGCGGGCTGCATGAATCTGGTGGCAGACGTGTGGAGCAGCCGGGATTATGCACTTGCTTCGCATCACTTTCTGTTGCAATGCCGTGTGCGCATAGAGATTCCGAAATCAAAGCACGAGGAGGACTCGAAACCGGACCTGTCAGCATTGGCCAGCGCTGCAGGCCAACATTTGTTTGCTGATACTTTCACCAACCATATGCCCGCATTGTGCCAACACCAGTCCCTGGACGGCTTGCATGATACCGTGGTCAATGCTTTCGCTGCTGCCGCAGAATGCCTCCCACGAGAGGCGGAACGAAGAAAGCAACCGTGGATGAGCAGCGCCACGATGGAGCTCATCACCGAGCGGAACGAGGCGAGACGACAAGGGGATTCAGCGATGGAGAAACGTTTTCACAGAAAGATCAGAGCCTCCATCAAGAAGGACAAGGAGCACTGGCTCTACTGACTGTTGGAGAACGGCGACTGGGACCAGGCGCGCAAGCTCCAGAAACCCCGCGGCGCCACCCAAGGGCGATTGCGGTGGGACGCACAGAGAAATACTAATACTATATGTCCGCCTTGGAGGCGCGCGTCCGACCCGAACATATAGTATACCCATCTTGTAGTATATCGTTTCTCGAGCGGTGTGGCCAGAAAGCGCCCACCACGACGCATGTACTACAAGATTTCTCGGTGCGCGCGTCGCCCCTGAGGGGGCGATGAACACATAGTATAAGTAAAATGGGGGGATGCCGATGCGGGACCTACGCGGCCAAGAAGTTGATAGCGACGAGCGGGCCCAGACTCTGGCCGAGCACTTTCGCTACAGTGCAGCGGGCCGTGCGGCCGGCCACTGCCGTGGACGATCCGGAACCGTTGGGGCCCCAGCTGCCAGTGCAAGCAGGCCCGATTACCAAGGCGGAAGTGTGCGCGGCAACACGTGCGCTGAACCGGAATCGCGCGGCCGGCAATGACGGCGCCCCAGCCGAGTTTTTGGAAAGCAATCTGCAGCTCAGACACGCCAGCATGCGAGTGGGCCGTTCCGCTTTGCAATCGGTGTTGGACGGAGGCGTCTGTGCCCGACGCCTGGCACGAGGCGATTGTCACGGCTATCTTCAAGAAAGGCGACGTCGCCGAGTGCGAGAACTGCAGGCCGATATCACTTTTACCCATCGGGAACAAGCTCTACGCCGTGATATTGCTTGCACGCTTGAAGAGCGCAGGCGCCGAGGACCGGATTTTGGGAACGCAATTTGGACTCCGATCTGGTAGCGGAACGGCCGACGCACTGTTCGTCGCACGGCGGCTGATCGAGGACACCGTGGACACAGCGTCTGGGAGGTTGCTTCTTCTCGCACTCGACTGGGCTAAAGCATTCGACAGCGTGTCGCCAGATAGCCTCCTGCAGGCGTTGATCCGCTTCGACATCCCTGAGCACTTCACCGCCGCTGTGAAAGGAATCTACAACAACAGGAGCTTCCGCGTCCGGGATGCTGGCTCAATTTCCGAATCTTGGCCGCAGGCGTTCGGCATATCGCAGGGATGCCCATTAGCACCTTTTTTGTTCTCGATCGTGATGACGGTCCTCATGCACGACGCGAGGCGGAGCTTTGCTGGTCACGGGATGTTGCAATCCAACTCAATTCCGATTAGCGAGCTCATGTACGCCGACGACACCCTCATAGTCGGAGCAGAAGAAGAGTTAGTCTACCAGCTGATGGAGTTCGTGCGCGAGGCCGGGAGGAACTATGGATTGGGGCTCAATTGGGGTAAGCTCGAGGTCCTATCCGTGGGATGCGAGACGCATATTGCCCGACCAGACGGGTCAACAATTCCGCAGAGGGACAATATGATCTACCTGGGCGGGCTACTGAACGCCGACGGCGGCAGCGGCCCTGAGCTGAGCAGAAGGATCGGCATTGCATGCAGGCAATTCCATAGTTTGTGCAACATTTGGAAGCATGCGAAGCTTTCATTTTCCAAGAAGGTCTTGATTTTACAGTCTTGCGTAGTATCTGGCCTGATGTATTGCTTGCACATTCTGTGGCCGAGCCAAGCAGAACTCCGAAAACTGGATGCTTTCCAAGCGCGCTGCCTCCGCAAAGTGGCTGGCATGGCGCACTCGTTCGTTAGCCGTGTTTCGAATGATGCCGTCTTGGCCCAGTGCAGCTGTCGGAACTTAAGCAGCCAGTTAGCATACCGGCAGCTTGTGCTGCTGGGTAAGGCGGCCCAACTGCCAGACGACAGCGCCGTCCGACGCTGCATGTTCGCCCCCGGGTCATCCTCGCTTTCCCGCTCGGGAGGTCGCCGGAAGCGCGGTCGGCCGAAGAACACGTGGAAGCGCCATGGATACGCTATGGCTTGCAAGGCAGCCGGCGATGCTGACAGATTGTGTCAACTATGGCAAGGGAACGCCAGTATTTGGCGTCACGCGGCACGCAATTTTTGCACGCATGTAGCAGTGTGATTGCAGTTTGTACATTGCTGCCAACGTGCCAACGCACCTTTGACGTGCATGGCGCTCTCTCTCTCTCTCTCGCGAGCGTTTTCGACCAATTTCGGGCCCCATGGCCATGACGGATCGATCCGGCTCGAAAAGTGCGCAGAAAGGTTGGATCTATAGGGCTCCTGTCGCGATTCTGCATGGCGGCGAGCGAGGGGGGGGAAATGAGAAGGAGAAGGCCTTCTCAGAAGGCGGCGTAACTTCTCAGAAGCCCTCGCGCCTTCTGAGAAGTGTTCTGCGTCTTCGGGAAAAGGTCTGGAACACTTCTCAGAAGGCCAGGAGACTTCCGAGCCTTCCGAGAAGGCCCGACCCTTGTGATTTCCCTCCCCCCGCTCGCCGCCGATTTTCGCGGTGCCGCAGCTTGTTCGAAACGTCGGATCTCAGGGGAGCGGGGCAGGCGCGAGAGGGCGTGGCGCCTTCTGAGAAGGGGCCCAGGCACCCGACGTCTCGACTGCGGGGGCAGCAAGCGACCACAGCTACATCGAGGACAAACCCTGGGGCATGTCTTGATTGTTCAAGGGGCCCCAGAACAAACCAATAAATACACACAAATAAAAATATCCCCCATATTTTCAATATTTTCTGGGTTTTTGTCTTCCCCACCACTTCCCATATTTTCCCATATTTTCTGGGGGATCGCCGATTAATTGTGTCTGTGTGTTTTTTTTTCCCTCCTGATTCTTTGTTGTGCCGAGATAGACTGGTCTGTCGTAATGGGCTCGCGAAAAACGTACAATAGTTCATCCTGTGGCTCATGGCGCGTGGCCTCTCTCATAAACTCAGGACGCCACATGCAGCGCAATCTGCCCGCATCCAGCAGGATCCAGCACGAACGATTGTATGAAGAATTGCATACATTTTGGGACCACCTTTGCGAATGACCCATTCGGCCGAATCTGAACCATGCGCGCGAGGACGAACGCGCTCCGCGCTGCGCGCGGCAGCCCAGTGCCCAGCCCTTCAACCGTCGTCGTCGTCGCCGCCGTCGTCGTCGTCGTCACCGCCATCGCCGTCGTCGTCGTCGTCGTCGTCGTCGTCGTCGTCGTCGTCGTCGCCGCCGCCCACTGCCCAGCCCGTCAGTGCACTGCGCGAGGCTCCTGGGGAGCAAATGGATGAGGACCCCGGAGGTCGGGGCCCTCTCCCTTCGACGGCTTCTCCTCTTCGTCCTCCTCTTTCTCCTCCTCCTCCTCCTCCTCCTCCTCCTCCTCCTCCTCCTCCTCCTCCCCCTCCTCCTCCTTTTCCTCCTCCTTCTCCTCTTCGTCCTCCTCTTCCTCCTCCTTCCTCCTCCTCCTCCTCCCTTCCTGACGGCCCCGGGGCCTGGCGAGGGCCTCCAGATGCAGCGATCGGCCAGAAACCTTCCGTGGTGATTTCTACCACGCGACGCGAGCATGTCCGGGAAGAGGTCAGCGCCCTCCTCTCTCAGAGACCTCCGACGGAGAGGGCTGCCTGGAGGGCTGAAGGTCTCTCTGAGAGGGCGGGGCGCCCTCGCCATCGCCGCGCGCGCCGCCGCCGGTCCTTGCCGTCGTCCGCGAAATCGTGCAGAGACTTCCCGTGGTCCACGACCTTACAAGGGAGGGCCCGAATCGGTCCGGTGACAGCCCGTGCGGGGACCTCGGAACCCCGGAAGGCCTCACCGCACGGGCCGTCACCGCGCGGATTTGGAACCTCGAAGGCCCCAGTCGACGTCCTTGGAGAGATCGACCCGAGTGCAAACAAAAACCGTGCGGTCACTCCAAATCCCCACGGACTCACCACGCGGTGTGGCCAGCGCACCCTTCGGGGATGTTTTTGGAGGGTGCCGAAGCCTGGGTGTCGCCGGAATCGCGGGGCGGGCGCCGGGGGCCTGTCCGGGACCTACTGGCCCCGTTCCACCCAAACCCGGGGCAGTCAGGCCTTGCAGGACCCTGCAGGCCCTGCACCCAAGCCCAGGTCTGGCCCTGTAGGATCCTGCTTTTTTTTGTCATTTCCAGAGCCACTAGCCCTGCGGCTCCATAGCTGCTTGAACAGCCCCCCAGGCAAGAGAGCAATGCGGATGCTGCGGATTACCCAACAGCGTCGACGCAACAAACAGGGCCTCAACTCGAGGATAGGCTGGTACGTCCAAAATTATAAACAGTAAAAGGAAACGGAGAGAACGAGGAGGAGAAGGACGAGGAGAGCGGGACACAGAGATCACAGTACCTGCTGATATATTGGAATGCACAGCTCAAACCGAATTAGAAAACGGGCTACGCTCCATTCAAGCTGCCAGAGGACAGCGCGTTTGCTAAGCGCGGGACATGTTACACATAAAGAAACTGTAAAGCAACGGCAGCGGCGGCACGACGAAAAAGGAGGGAGAGGTAAGATGAAGACGGATAAACAAGCGACCTGCGAAACTACACCACGACTAGGCGCGAAACTCGCTGCCTGACAAGCTGTCTCAAACTGAAGTGCAAGCACTGATCGTCACCACTAATGGTCAAGCCGTGGGGCCGCCGCATTCGGGGGAGAGCGAGGACGAGACAGGCAGAGGAGGCGGAGAGCGGGCCGGCCCCGGCAGGGCTAGCCGGCGCACCGCCTCCAGGAGGCGAGAGCGGGAGGAAAGAGACGAGGGGTGGAGGATGCACCAGGAGGCGCGGGACAGCTTTGAGCCCCTTCTCGCTCCATACCGGCCCACCTGGTGTCGCTATCGGCCACGCGGCGGGGACATCAGACGGCCCGCAAGGGAACCAAAATCGATGGGCTGACATCCCCAATCAGCCGCCCGAAATGGGACAATGCAAAGAGGGAGGAGGAGTAGAGGAGGGGAAGAGGGGGCAAATTCAGACTCTGGCAGCGTTCTTCGAGATGACAGGCCAGCCAGGCGCAACAAATCGGCACCACGATTCCGCGGAAGGGCGAGGCGAGGAGGAGGATGAGAAGGAGGAGGATGAAAAGGAGGAGGAGGAGAGGGAGGAGGAGGAGGAGGAGGAGGAGGAGGAGGAGGAGGAGGAGGACCACCCTCGAGCCCCGCGCGGCCAGACGATGTATTTTTGTGAAGGCAGGCGAGGCGGCGAGCCCAGCAGGGTTTGCGGGGCCAGCGACCGTGCAGTGGCGAGGCCGAGACCGGCGAAACGAGATGAAAGGTAAAAACCGTACACCAGAACATACCAGAACGGGGTTGAAAAGAGAGGGGGAAGAAGGCGACAAGGGAGGATGGTGGGAGCTTGAGCAAGGACGCCGGCGGACAAAGTCGCCGTGCGGCCGCTCTCCGCTCGCTCACTGCTTCCCGTTCTGAAAACTGCACAGCACTACCCTCGAGCCCCCCACGGCCAGACGATGTATTTCTGCGAAGGCAGGCGAGGCGGCGAGCCCGGCTGGGGTTGCGGGGCCAGCGACTGTGCAGTGGCGAAGCCGAGACCGGCGAAACGAGATGAAAGGTTAAAGCCGCACGCCCAATCCCGCAGGTCCGACTGGCTGCACACCCCCAGACCGCGGAGCTCAGACCTGACTCGGGCGAAAAAGACCAGGAATACGAAACGATTCCAGCAACTTGCTGAAGCCTAGAGGTCCGAAGAGACTCTGCTATACTCACAAGGGCGGAGGCGGCAGCCGAGGCGAACTTTGAGGGATATGAGGTAGCTACTTGCGTCTTTTCCGATTCGTTCCAGGGGCGCTGCCGGATAAGATGATGCGAGGCCTCCCCGAGCGCGTACATATATTGCGGCAAGTATGGCACAGGCTGTTGATAGAAGGGATATGCGGAGCGTTCCACGAGGCAATCGATGCAGCCTTCTTCCACGGCGTGGCGCACTGACAGAGATCAACTTTGTGCAGGAGGAACAAGTCGTGCTGGGCAAATTGAATGAAAGGAGGCATCGACCATATCTGTGACGCGCGAGGGCTCTCAATGAATACTGGGCAATCAACAGCTAGAGCGGCTTGCGCGATCTTCAGGCTGGCCTTGAAGGTTGCGCTGCCCGACGCCAGGTGGGCCCGCTCTGGGTCTGAAAGGTTTGGTAGCCCCCGCGGGAAATCCAGCAACCTGAGAGGCTTGCGCAACGCACGACTGAACGCGGCACAAGGGGTCCCCATCCAGATACCGATGACGGCCCGAGAACGGATCCAACCATCCAAAATTTCGAGAACGCAAGGCCGGGCGACGTCCTCCCAAGAGCCCCTCTGCATATCCAGCGAGATGGCCCCGTGCACTAGCTTCCTGGCGTTGTCTGACAAGCGGCTGCTGTCCGAGAAAAGCTTCAGGAATATGCAGCGATTGAGCTTCTCAGCCCCGCGGCGCTTCCGTTGGAGGCGATGCAAGTAGGCAGCCGCTTTCTCATTCGAACAGCTCGTAGCTTTCGCCGCCGTCGAGGGCATGGGGCCTCTCCCGCGCGGGCAACGTCCCCGCTCGCCACCGCCGCCTCCAGCCGAGCTCTGATATCAAGAGGGATCTTTGGCCAGCGACGACGGTCGCGAAGCTTTGACTGCAGGGCCACGCTGAAGTTGCCCTGCACCAGCTGGCCGAAGGAATATGCCGCTGGCGGCGCCTTGGCCATCTCAACGAGCAGGCGAGTCTCCATGCCGCAGCGCTGGAGGCTGCGCTGGCCCCGCCACTGTCCGCGGCGCCCGACCTCTGCCAGGGCCCGCCTCTCGGCGGCCAAGTCGTCTGACGCCCCGCCGCGCCTCGGGCTGCGCGAGTGGGGCCTGAAGAACTGCGGTCCCAAGGGCCCCGCGCACTGGCCGAAGAGCTTGCGGAGCACCGCCGGCTTGAAGTCCCACAAGCTGGGCTGTGCCACGGTAGCCCCCTTCAAGGCCTCTAGGGCCGCCAACAGCCAATGGTCCAGATCCACCATCGCGGAGCCGCCCCACTCGCCCGTCTTGCCGGCCTCCCCGCCCGAGTCGTTGATCAGCACCCCCCAGTGGACGTGCTCGGGGCCTGCCTCGGGAGACGGCCTGATCAGGTGGTCGGACCGCAGCTTGAGGGCCTCTTTCGGTCGCAGGCAGGTGACGAACGTCAGGGCTATCCAGATCGCCATGCGCGGCTGTCCAATGAAGCGCAGGGCGCCGGCGATGGCCAGCGCGGCAACATGGGCAGCGGAAGCCGCTGCGAGCCTGGAACCCTCTTCTTCCAGGACGCACATGCCCTTGATGACCTTGGCAATCGGGCCTTGAGGGACTCGTGGAGCTCGGGCGCAAAGTGGGCCAGGGCGGCCAGCAACTTGCTGCCCATGTCGGGCAGGTGTCCATCCAGGTGCAGCCTGTCCATGCACGGGGCCACGGCCAGGTCCAGACCCTCGACGGTGGACCAGTCGAGGCTCGAGCGGAGGCAGTAGTCCACGAAACCCTGCAGCAGCGCTCGGCGGGCAACCTCGGTGTCCGCCGAGACCGCCACGCGCCCCAGCAAGGTCAAGCGGCTCGGTGGGCGGGCCGCGTGCACCAGGCTCGCCGCGGCCGCCCGGGCCGCCGGCGCTGGCGGCCGCGCCGCTGGTCGCCGCATGGGGGCCCGCGAGGGTCACGGCAGCGCCCTCGCCTGATCCCTCAGAACCAGCGCCGTCGGGATCAGCGCCACGAGACCCCGCGCAGGCCCCCGGGTTCGACGGAACCCCTCGGGCCGCGGGGTGGCAGCGATAAGGGCCAACGAACCGCCCGCTGCCCACGAGACGACCCATCAGCTGGGTTGAATTCGCCGGGGAGCCAGCGCACATGCAGTCTGGTCCCCGCGGCCAACGATAGCGCGGCAACCTCGCGGACGGCCCGTTGGAGGTGCTCCGATGAGGCGCTGCCCTGGGTGGCCCCAAAGGCCACGGCCACGTTGTCGACGAGCGCAAGGGCCCGAGACCCACGGGCAGCCCGAGACCGAAGTGAGTGCTTACAGGCCAAGACTAACCCATCACCCTCGAGCTCCAAGATGCCGCCGGGGGCGACGACCTTCGTCGCGAGCACGACGTTCCACGCACTCTTGTCTAATATCGCCTTCGGAACCTCATCAAAAACAACCGCCGTGACCGCAAGCCCAATGTCGTAACCTCGAAGGCCTGCAAGAGGACACCCATCACCCGCCGATATGCTGGAGGACGACGAGGAAAGTGGAGGAGACGGAGTAGTTGGGGCATCGGCGCCCAGAGCACGATCCCGAGCCTGCGCGCCACCCTCGACCTTGCACCGCCAGCGCTCAATATGCCGGCCGATGTTTCCCACAATCTCTGGCTTCAGCGAGCGGGCGCACACCGCGACGCCGTGGGGGCGGGCGTCCGAGCAGGCAACCACTGGATGCCACTTCGCGGCGGGATCACAACACAGAAGAGGCAGGAGACTACGCGCCTGCCGCAACTCGCGCAGCACTGAAGGCCAAGCGTCCACCGCCTGAGTCGGGTTGGCAACGATGAAAGCGCAGCAGGCGTCCAGGGCCACCAGGGCCTCCCTCTTAAGTAGAGAGGCCCAAGTAATATGGCCCACCAGGACCTGCAACGTAGCCCCGCTGCAACAACGACGACTGATAACCTCCTCGATCCCCGAGCGACGCCTCCAGATGTTCCACCTTTTGATGCTAAGACGCGTGCCCCCAGACAACTCCGTGCCCAAGGGAGCGCAATCAGCGGACCCCTCCTCCAACTCATGAACCGCGAGCCCCCTGTCCCTAGGGGAAGTTATGATAGATTGCGTAGACGCAGTAGTCTTATCACGAGCGTGGCCAACCGTGAAGAAATTGTCAACGCACGCGGCGCTGCCGACCTGTTGCGGGCCTGAAAGGTGCGCGCCTGCCCGGCCGTCCTCGATCAGAAAATTGCCGGAGAGCCCAGCCTCGGTAATGCTGTCGCGGAGAACCCCACGGCATAAATGCATGGCCCAGGACCGTCCCACTGGACGAACAGGCGCGGCAAGAGGTGCACCTGGGGGGGGCGGGAACTCCGTCCAGGAAGAAATCTTTCACGAGCGTGGAATCGATCACCGGGAGCGAGAAGCACTGCCCCACCCCCGGCGGCAGCCCCAGTCGGTACAAGGCGCAATCTAGATCTCCAGACGCAACATGCACGGGCCTCTCCGAAGTCTCCAAAGACGAGAACGCACATGAGGTAGGCAGCCAGGTGCTCGGAGGTGTCTTGAACAACGCGTTGACAAACCTTGCATCGAAAATGATCTGCAGTCGACCGTTTAGAAACTCTGCATAGGTGGAGGGCCGCTGCTTCAACGCGCTATCTACAGACGCATCGCGCGGGCAGGCCTCTCGCTGCAATGACGCGGCATCCTGCTCAGTTCTCGGCAAATTTTCGCGCCAACCGCCGAGCCACTTGCGATCGGCCAGGCCGAGGGCATCCGCCAGAAAGATAGGTTTCGCTCCCAGCTCGGGCCTTGACGGGATCCTTGACAAACGGGCGGCGCGGGCAATGGTCCGAGGAGTGGGCCGAGGACCCGGCAACAAGCTCGCTCAGGGCTTGCTTGCCGGAAGAAAAATCACACGGGGCAGGGCCGACCTGGGCGCGCCGACAAGCGATGTGTTCTAGGGCCCGGGTCTGGCCAGCGTTGGCAGGGGCGGAAGGGGGCAGGGAAGGGGGGAAGCCAGGCTGGTCAAAATCGAGCGAGCGATCGACTGAGGTCCCGGGCGGGCCCGGCAGCACTGTCGAACGCCCATATAGCTCACCCAAATTCTGGATTGCATCATCAGTCCAATCCAAAGAGGCCGCGGCAACGCGACGGCGCCGCACGGCGCCGCGGACCTCGCGCCCAGTCGGCGCAGCACGCGGCTGTCGGAGAACAGAAGGAAGAGGGAATATGTCACGCTGCCTCCAGAACTCACGGGAGGGGCTTGTCGGCTGCGGCGGCGCCCCCCCGAGCCGCCGAGGACGCTGCTGGCCATAGCCAGCGCCGGCGCCCTGGGAGCCGTTCGGCTTGCCAGGTTTGCCCTGCGGCCGTGCTAGCTGCCGCTCCTCCCTGGCC